AAAATATGTTACAATAAAAATATTTAGTTTTTATAATTTTCTTATGTCATCTCTTACATATCCAGTGAACATCTTTATGTGGCTCTGACTGGCTCATAACCTCCGAGTGTAGCATAACCAATTTCAAGTACAGCTACGTACAGAAGCAGAAAGAGAAGTTACGTCTTTTCTTGACTGGGATTTACATGGAGCGTATTTCGCGCAATGCGTAGATTGCGAGAACCAATCACAAATCAGTTTTGTATTTCTGTTGAAGGATACAACAGAAACTCTGATCTCCAATTGGTTGTATTAATTACGCAATCCGCGAAATACGCCCCATGTGAATCCCGAGTTTTAAAATGGCGTAACTTCTATAGAAGTTACTAGAATACGCAAATTACGCTTACGCAAGTTACGCCGCATGTAATCGCACCCTGAGTCAACCTTCGTCACTCGCTGTGTGTCGAACAAAGATAGAAGACGCTTCTAGCGCTGAAAGCGCGCTCCCCGAACGCACCTTTTATATATGTAATGTACGATTTCAAATAAAACTCGTGTTTCAACCCTCAAGTTGTAAGTCTACTACCAAAAAAGTTTCAACGACTAAGATATACGCTCCAACGCGTTAGCTTTATTCGACGACGATGAGTGAATTAGATGCGTTAATGAACTTTTAACTAAATCCTATTTATTTAAAATCAATTAGAAATTAAAGAGGCCGTTTAGGGCCGGGCATAGGTATAAGTAGCCGGTTAAATTAAATTATTAAGTGAATTCAATTAGTGAATTATTAAGTGAATTGGAAAGAATACGATATCTTAAAGGACCTATGTTAAAAATTGTAGTATCCTATTTATTTCTTAACCTACATTGTTCATAACTGCGTTGATGTTGATTTGCAGTATCACTCGAAAAGGACCCAAAAGAATAGGGTCGAAACGTGTAATAAACTAATTAAATAACTAGCCAGTTTCCCATCTCAATCTTTTATATTTGGTATATGTTTACAGTATTCGTAACATTATAAAGAATTCGGTATTTTGCGCGTGTGCAGCTCTTTCAGGTAATCGTCCAACAATTCCTCGCCGGTCTTGGGATACGGCAGGTAATAATGTTTGGGCAGCGGTCCTTCCTCCAGGCGTACGTAATAGTGGCAGTACCTGTAGTGTATGGTTCCCATGCGTCTCCTAGCGTGACGCCGTAGGCCCTTTATTACGATACCCTTGGTAAAGAACGATTCCGCTACGAAAGATCACATTTCCACGTTAGGCTGATGGCAGGGAACAATCCATAAACGCTTAAGACTGTCTTATTGTTAGGGCCTGAGCAGAAAGGTTGTCTTATACTCTTAAGACAATGATTCAAGTTTTAAGCCTTTGTCTTGAGGTAACGCACAATAACTGTCTTATGTCTCGAGACATGAGTACAAGACTAGTCTGATATTACATTTGTCGTATGATTTAGACTTAGGGCCTGAGCAGAATGGCTGTCTTGTGCTCATGTCTTGAGGCATAAGACAGTTATTGTGCGTTACCTCAAGACAAAGGTGACAAGGCAGAGAAAAACTCAAGTTGTCTACAAGAAACTTAAGTTTTTCTCTGCTTTGCCTTACGTCTACTACTTAAGACAGTCTCAAGCCGCCAAAGGACTCGGAAAACAGAATAGTTTGGTAAAAACGCAGCCGTGGTCTCCGACATCGACCGACATACTCACCGACCCACAGGTTACTCTTAAACTCAACGTTGTGCTCTTCCACAGCCAAGCGTTGGGCTTCTAATATAACTTCCTTGGCGATTTCGGCGCCCTTCTTGTGTATAAAATTCAGCTGCTTCACAGCCTCGTCCACGGACATTCCTCGCACTAAAATCGCGACTTACCACATCTTCTTGAGACTGTATTTTATGTTGGCTTTCATGTGGCACACCTACTGAGAGACAGGCGTACAAAATGATGTTATCCAATAACGGTCTCATTTAACAAGCTTGCGCATGAGGCAACTTACAGCGGGTCTACTCTCTTCGTCCAGCTTTTGGGGTGGAAATACAGCCCTATTGTACTGTAGAAATCTCTTTGGCGGTCGCAAATTCGTGCTGGATGTCGTGGAAATGTGAAAGCTGCGTGCTGGCGCGAGACTCGTCGCGGTCGACAATCCATTTCTGTTGATCGCGGACCTGCCGCACAACGCTAAATTCCTGACACACTGACGAATACTCTGCATAGTCTGCAAACATGACAATTCGCCCATGAATCGACGCTCTTACACAGAGCACAAAATTATAATTGAACGACGATGAAATTGTCACATGTGCCGTTCAATACAGCGAAAATATAAGACACGATAAACGAGATTCGTATGCGGCGACGAGGTTTATTACGACGCGACGTTCGTAAAGAAAAGCGTACAACATAACCTACAATAATCGTTCGACAATTCTTAAATTGAATTACAGATACGTACTTGCGTGGACTGAATACTTTTGCCAGAAAGATTTTCAGTTTCGCGAGTGCCTCTGGCGCGTATTAATTATACTTGATCTCGTATAAATAAATGGATCCTTGGCGCACGTACAGAAACCGATACCTCGCGCGGTCCAACTGGTCCAACATGGCTCGACTAACCTCGATAAACGGACGCGACTGAACGCTCGCTGTTCCTCGTATTATAAGCGAAGGCTATGTTAGACTTTCTACGCTTAAAAATGAAGTAGACGTTTTAGAGAAGAACTAAAGTTTAATTTTACGATAGTACATAATTCCAATTTGAATTGTACATTTATAAAGCCTTTGTAAAATGAGAAAAAACGAAGGGAGGACAAAAACTTGAAATAATTTAAATTAACGAAAGTAATGTTGAAGAACGTTTAGGCAATGTAAGCCATCACCCGTTGACAATGGTGTAAAACAAATTTTTTTATATACGCATCGGTATTAACAGATTTTTAATCTAAAAAACCAGTCGAATTTTACGTTACGGACCGGGTATATTTAATCGTTAATTAATTTTGCAAAACCCATGGTTGAAACGTAGCGATTCTTAAACATAAAAATTGCCAGATAATAAATTCATCCTCGTTAAAACTGTCATAAAAAGTTTAATCTAATGTTCCTGTATTATGGTACAATATAGTAACAAAAATAAACGATTTGAAGTATACAAATCTTTACACGAGTCACTCGCAATTTACAGCTTCCCCGTTAGCTCGGACACGGCCTTAAATAAATCCGCGACCAATCCGTAATCCGCTACTTGTTGATCGCCACAAGATTTTGGAATCCTTCATACCAGCGAGGTGCTGAATCGCTCCTGAAATCCCAACCGCTATGTACAGATTCTGAAACCACAATCATGAAATTGTTGCATTCCGAGTCAAGCCTGTCACTTCCTAGAGACACACAGAGTTCTATGAATATTCTTAATTTCAGAATACCCCAATCAAATATTCTACAAATATATGTATATTATTACAAAGGAGAAGAAAAACACTTCGAAACGTTTGTAGCGGAGCATTTGTTGCTTGACCGGGACACACAAGATTGAAACAACCCAGATAGCATGCTTGACTAAAAGACATCTTCAAGACTTCTTTAAGACGTCTTTAAGATATCTTTTAGACGTGTATGTCCAAAAGATGTCTAAAAGACGTGTTAAAGACGTCTTAAAGATGTCTTTTAGACATGCATGTTATTTGGGAAGAGAGCAACCGATAAGGCACGTCGTATCAATTCCCTCACGGCGCTTATGTCAGAAAGATCTCCATTTATATTTTACATTTTTCGCGATAAACTTTCCGCCAGTTACGGCTGGGTATTACTTGTTCCATTACTTATCAACTTTTACTTACAAGTGCGACAATTTTCCCAGTTTGCCCCACTTGCATGTCGTTCGGCACGAAGCCGGCGTCGACCGCGGCGCTGGACGCACCCACGGCCGCGTTGAGCTTGTCCGCCAATGTGTACAACAACTGGAAGTTCTCCCCGGACTTCATGCCACGTCCACCGGAGATGACAACTTTGGCGGACGTCAATTCGGGCCTGTCGGACTTGCTGAGCTTTTGCTTGACGTACTCCACTTGGCCGGAGGCGCAATCGCCAGTAGGGACGCTCTCGCACTTGGCGTCGCCATCCTCCAGAGGCAGCGGCTCGAAAGAGGTGCCTCTCACGGACACCACCTTCACATTATCCTTGGACTTGAGAGTCTGAATGGCATTGCCCGGCGTAAATAGTGCGCACGAAGGTATCCGGGACTTTTACGTCGGTAATGTCGCTTATCGGGGACACGTCCAACTTGGCTGCAACCTTAAACAGATTTATATACGTGAATTGGCATAGGATCAACGGGTGCTTTCCAGCGAGAGACAGAAGCCTAGCGTGGTGTAACGCAGAGAATCATTTCGTCTTTACTAATCGCAAACAATAGAGATGAAACGATTAACTGTGTTACACAGGGTCGCCTGATAAACGTACGCGCGAATTCTGCTCTTACGGTAAAGTCACGCATTTGCTTTTAGTCAATCGACTTGCGAGTTTTCCGTGAAAACTGAATTCTCGTATTTTGTCTTTCGAGTAAATTCAAGAGTCGAGCACCAGACATACCTGCCTGTCTGTCTGCTGCTGGAAGGCATCCGATGTAATTGTTCTTGTCAGGATGCAACTGAAACGCCAATTTCTTGTACGCCTTCTTGATGTTGCTGTCCGTAGCATCTTTGCTGACACCCAAAATCTCGTAATAATCCTTGCATTTCTTTATCCTGCGACAGACAAAACGAAGCACAATTTATACAAAAAAAAAGACATAAATTGATAAAAAACGAATACATTGTTCCGAAATAATCTATGCGATCTCGAAATATCTACCTCTTGACGTGCTCCAACTGCTCCTTTGTGTATTCAGAATTATTTTGGGAATGTGCTCCGTCTTTAGCTACATTTTGCCGCTTTCTAACGTTAGGCTCCGCCGACTCGGATTTCCGATTCTGCTTGGAGAGCACCGTCACTTACGCCAGCAGATCTACAAATATATAATTATTAGATTCCCGTAACCACCGTTATTCTGGCAAAAGGAAGAGAGAGGTATCCCAGTGAGAAATGATTCGTCGATCGACGTCGAAATGATGTCGAATCGACGTCAATTCGACGGTGTCGATGTTGATTCGACGTCGTTTCGACGTCGATCGACGAATCATTTCTCACTGGGATGTGCTCTCGCGAAAAACGAAAGTTCCTCGAGTCTGCAATGAAAATCGTTAGTCGTTGGTCGGAGCTACGTGTCGGTCTTAATTCTTCCATCCGGAAAGGAAGGGGATCAACATACAGTTACGACTTCTGACTAACGACTCGTCGTAGACCAGGCCCTATTCCGCCTGAACGTGTAACGTGGTAAAATCAACATGCGGACACGGGACGCCACGCGCACGTACCCTCGGCCTTCTTCGTCGGATAAAGCTTCTGGGCTTTGCGGGCGAATTTCTCGGCCTCCTCGTATTTCCGCTCCCGCATAAACCGCTCCGCGAGCTCCATGCATCGCTCCGCCTCGTCCTTATTGCTGTCCATCTCGTCCGTCGCCGCCCGAAAAGAGTTGAACCGAGTTCACCCGCGATCGCAGTGACGGGGCAGAATGGTAAATAACGCGTGAGGCGTGAACCCTCAACCCCGACAGTCCCGACACTCCACCATAGTAATTCGGTTATTACATCACGAGCATCGTCACGACAGCTGAGCGGCTGAATGCAGAGACGCGAGGCATGGCAGGACGGGCGCCATTAATCGCAGAAGCGTTGATCGGTCCTGCTGATCGGTCGTCACGCGAACCAGCCGGCTGTACGGCACGAGTGAAGAGGCTCTCGGAGGCAATTCGCGGGATGATCGATATTCGGGAGATTCGAGGAATCTCCGCGTGCAATCGGCCCTTCTGAATCGGAATCATGGTGGAAGGATTA